AAGGGAAAATAAAGAGATAAATATCCTCTTTTCACACCTTACAGTTTAAATGAGTCACCTAAACCTTATTCTGTATCCTCTGAGCTCCTAACATAAAAAAAATGGCAGATTTCTGTGTTTATTTCTGTGTTTATAAGTACATTTTCATCCGTACGTGTTTAACCGAACAGGAAAGGATCGACTATTCAAACTTGATTTGCTGCCCAATACCTGAAACTTAAAAAGTAAAAGATAAATGTCTTCTAACGGCCCCCCCAATGACACTACAGGGTGTCTCAGGGTGTCTTTTAAAGAGCTCATCCAGGTCCGACCAAGTCCGTCTGGCTGCCGCCCACATCCAAGTCGGCCATTGTGATTAGGTCACCAATAGGAAGATCCCATATCTGCTGGCAGGGTTAGGGTCAGGGTTAGGTTTAAGGTCAGGGTTAGGGTTAGGGTCAGGGTTAGGATTAGGACATCGTTTGTCTTCCGATTTCGTATAGACAGAAAAGTTTCGTTTCCACTAGTCACATGCTAGTCAGATGACCTAATCAAAATGGCCGACTTGGATGTGGGAGGAGTTGGACATCCAACCGAGGCTCCTACAGGCTGCCATCCGGTTCGTACATGTCGGATTTATAACGACGGTTCCATTAACCATGTAATAGCAGATAAAAAAGCAGATCTAGTAGTTTAGATCCATTTAGCTCCATCTATGAGCCTGCTCTGAGACATATGCATTTGTTTTTAGTTTTTTTTGTTCCGGAGTTTGAGGTCCAGCATAATTGATTTAATTGAAAATCACCACTACAATAAAACAAAGGAGAAAAAAAGGAAACGGGCTGAACTTTGACCTGGTTCCTGCAGGCTGATGACATCTGGTATTTATGTGCTAACGTTAGTTCTCTGAGTCCTGTGGACCCGGTAAAGTATGTGAAACTCTTTTTAAAATGTTTATGGTCCCAGGCTGGTCCTGATCCGATATCTGGATCTGATCGGCCGCCGATATCCACAAAAAACTGTGGAGAAAATGCAGATCCAGACTCCAGATCCATTTTTTTTTTTTTTTTTTTAAGTCCGATCCGTTTTCCAGAGCACCAATTAAAATAATCCATTCCACTTTGCTGTGCTGTTCCCTAATATCCGTTCATTTTCCAGCACAGCCTTAAGCATTAGCATTAGCATTAGCATCTGTAACCCACAGGTCTGTCCTAACCATTAAGTTGTTATCAGAGTAAATCCCTGTTCAACATGAGTCTGACAACTAAGTAAGTAGATAAATAACTTTAAACTTTAACACATGCTCTGATAGGCCGGGATCGGGACATCCCTACACCTCATTATTAAATTACATCCATATTTTTAGATTTCAGGCCTTTAACGCATTCCAAAAATGTTTCCAAAAATGTTTCATTCGAAATTCGTGGGAATTTGGTTTTAGCCAGCTGACCAAAAGTAGCTGACCCGATTGGTTCTATTCTGTCATGTGGGCTCAAGCCAGGCTGGTTAGCATTAGCATTAGCATCTGCTAACCCACAGGTCTGTGTCCTAACCATTAAATTGTTATCAGAGTAAATCCCTGTTCAACATGAGTCTTACATTAAGTAAGTAGATAAATAACTTCAAACTTTAAAGGGAAAAATGGGGACATCCCTGGATGGTCGTCATTTTTTAAAACATCCTCCGCTAACTGTTTAATTCTCCGGCATCTTTCCCATGGCAGGAGGGCCTTTTTATCCCCTAAACGCAGACACAAATCCGCCGGTTTGGATGGCGGCCCTCAGCTGGAGGCCAAAGCTAAGCTGGTTGTCATCAGGGTCTCTAGCTTTAAGCCCGTTTATCCTCCATGAGGAGGAGCTGGACAGAAAGGCTGATGGATTCAAGCAGGAGATTGATTTACTGACACTTCAAACTCGTATTGGGACTATCATGTGTGTGTTTGTGGCTTTGTGTGCTGATAGGGTTCAGATCTGAGACAAATGAAATAGAAATTAGATCTCAAACTTACAGACTGGTCACTCATTTGCCAAATTGTTTACTTTTTAGACGACTTCCTGTGTAATTTAGAGGTTTTAAACTCAATACAAAAAAAAAAGAGAAAATTCCCTGGTTTTCTGAGTCTTAATAAGACTAATTAACAATGATTTGATGGTGAAACCGAATAAGAGGTCGTATTGATTTTTGTTTTTCATATTTTTGTCCTGATTGTTGAGGCTTTTATAGAAAAAATACTTTTTAAATGGAGTGTTAAAGGTTCAGGAAGCTGGATTTATCCTCATGGCACTGATACAATACAGTGGAAAACTTAAATTCCTCCTCATGGGGCAGCTCAATAATTCACATGCAAACAAATATATTAGATTATTTTGGGTGATGAGATAATTTTAGACATTCTGGGGGATGGGAGGTGAGTGAATGATTAAAATAGAATCAGTTTTCTCTGTTAACGGTACATTTTGACCATATTTTTGCTCCAAATTGTCTCTGTGACAGTGGGAAGTCTAATGGATGCGTTTTGAGCTTAAGGCTCACAGATATTTTTTAAGAATTTAATTTTTTTTCTTTAAAACTTGCAGAAAATATGTATTAACTTACAGTTAATGTTAATTCTAAAAACTTGTTTTTAAGATGTATTTTTACCTTCATTATAACAGATAATTGTCCAGATCCGCATTTTTTATCCAGATTTTTAAAGTTTATTAACGCAACGATAGGCGAGTTGGATGATTACGCGTTAACAGTGTTAACAGTTAACAACGTGCACAGGACACACAAACTTATTTGTAATAAATGGATAATTGTGCACAATTTGACCTTCTGCACAGTTTTTTATCGTTTATAAAGTTGGTGTCCTTCCACATAAACTATACATTTTCTGTTTTTTATTTTAGTTTGGCTGATTTGAGGATTAAAGTGTCCAACAAAGTTCATGTTTATTAAGGAGTATTAAATTATGTCAAAATTACAGAAATGAAAATGAAAAAATCCCTAAATCAACATAAAAGTACCAAAGCTTGAAGTCATGAGATATTTAAAAAAGAATGGGTAAATACCCATTTATAAATATTATTTAAAATGCAGAATGGGTATTAAAAATATATTAATCGAGGTCTGAGCTGGACTGCTCTTATATTCACGTTTAATGTCTGTTTTTTACACAGCTGGAACATCTGGGTGCACAGTAGGGACTAAAAAATGCATCACGATCATTTCTAGGTTTTACCACAATAACGATAAAGTGACAAAAAA